CCATCGAGCACCTAAGGGGAGAGAGGAGGCGAGTAGGCGGAGAGTCATCCAGCTGAAAGAACATGTGTGTGTGTGTGTTCCGCAACCCGCGCGCGAGCCGTCCCATTATCCTTGTTCGGCTTCGCAACCGCGAGTTGCATACTCGAGGTTCTGCACCCTGGAGCAAGCGGCATGTGTGATGCAGAGTATCACAGGCAAGGAAAGAGGTCTCCAGAATGCAGTGCAATTGGACATGCGCCTCTGGAACGCAAGGCGCATGCGGAGCCGCCGGGCTCCGCGCTTCTTATAGTCGGAGGTCTCCTACCCTGACACGTCGATTAGTGAATTGTCCGTTTTCGGTTCTCGAGAGGGCGCCGCGGCCGTTATCTTCCAGGCTTGCGCCCGCCAGGTTTGGGCCCGAAGTCGTTTTCACTACACCACGTTTTTCTAAAGGGAGGTCTGTCCATCCCCGATATAGAACAGTTTGTGGACGAGACTCTCCCCTTGCCAAATCTACTCCAAGAAGAACTCCCCAAGCCAACCCTCCCTCTGTGCATGGTGGCCCTAGTCGCTGGCAGACCTAGAGCGCTTGGCGGTAGGCTCGACCTTAGACTCCGTCCTGCTTTCTTTGGAAGCTCGGGCGGACTGGACATCTCAGAAGGTGCCGCCGCCGACGTTGCGGACGGGAGGGCAGGGACTTGGAGCCATTCCCAGGTCTAGGTCTCATTGCCAGGCGAGTCTGAGGTCTGGGTCCACATGTAGGGATGGTCCGAGCCGTCCGCCAGCCTCCAGGTTGAGACGTAGCTGGTCGGGAACCACCTCGCGCGAGTGCGTTTGCTGTGGTGGTACCGCCATCCTTGCACCAGTGTTCCACCTTGGAAGTCACCTGTGGGAAGAGGCTGAGGAGAGGATGAGCAGGGCTAGGAGCCCATGACAAACTGGACTGAAGGTACCGGCGAGGCCTGCAACTTGGTCACCACTTCTCGGGCAGAGGTGGCTATGACATGTCGGGGTGAAGGGGTCAGAGGGATGGTAACAAAGGAAGATAGCGGCGGGAGGATTGTCAGAAAGGCACACATAATCCTGGATAATCTCGTCATGGACAGCCTGTCTGGTCAGGCGGCTGTAATGCACTGGGGCGGATGACCCACTCCGCTAATAGCCGAGACAGTACAGTGAGCTACAAGCTGAAGACGGAAAACAGTTAGCCCATACTGTATTGGGAGTCTGCGGCAAGGGGGAAATCGTGGAGGAGGAGAGGCAGAGAGGATCCATTGCGGGGCGTTTGCGCCGACGTCGCGGCGCAAGCTAATCTCGTAAGCTCGCGTGTAAGCGCGTCCTCGTCTCCAGTGCAGCGTGCCGCGCTGGCGGCCAGCGTGAGACACCGCGCACAAGGTGGCTGCGTCATCTCGCATAAGATCCGTTGTTGATCGTCGCCCAGGTGAGTATGCAGCTGGCGATCCGTGAGGCGGCTGCGGGGACTCCTTGAAGAGCTAAGAGCGGTGCAGTTACGAAGCCAGCAGGCACGGCTGCGCCAGCTTCTCTTCGAGGCTCCTGGACAGGCCGGACAGGCACCTCGCAGCGCCCTGCTTTAAGCCGACACTGTGTTCGTACTCGTTCTCGATACGCGTGCCTGAAGCCATGCCGCAGCTCCTTCGAAGGGCAAGGTGCTGTGCGGGAGATGCAGAGGACGAGGACGGGGGAGCCTCGGCACGCTGCACCCGCTCGCCGCCCCTCCGCCGGAAGGAGAAGCGGCCCTCCCCAGTGGACAATAGTTCGTGCCGTGACCCGGTGGTGGCCGCTGCCCCGCCAGGCGGTAGCGGGATGGGTAGAGTTGGAATTTTTTTTTCGAAGTCACTTGGGGCATGCCCCCCCACAGGAGGAGTATCCAACAATAGTCCAAAGCTATCCTGGGGACGACGTTTCTAGCATGTTTTAGTCTTTTCGTGGTCTGGTTTGGCTATTTTTCTTTGTCCCCCAAGATCCCCCTGTAGGAGGACATGCCCGCCCAAACTTTGGACTGACGGAGCATACGGGCATGCCCGCCCTAACTTGAACAGTGATGCTTGTCCGTGCGAGAGGGCCTCTCCACCTCCTAGGTGGAGAGGCCCTCTCGCACGGAGGGAGGAGGAGGAGAAGGAGGGAGAGGAGGGGGGGGAGGATCAAGCGGAGGAGCAAGAGGACGGGGAGGAGGACAATGAGGATGGCGAGCAGAATGGCCAGAGGCCTCTTGGATAGGAGTCTCCTCGCATGTCTCTTGAAAGTTTCTCAGGGTCCTCTTGGGGCGTCTTGGGGGCCCCTCGGCGGTCCCAGTTGCCTCGTGCAGCGTCTCTGGTGCCTCGGCAGAGCCCCCTGGGGCCTCTTGGGGATCTCTTGGGAGCCTCTCGGGGATCTCTTTGGGCTCCTTTCGGGCCTTTTAGGCGCCTCTTGGGTCCCTCTGGGGGCCGTTTTGAGGCACCTTGGGAGCCGTGGGGGCCATCCCGGCGCCATTTTGGAGGAGATCGATCGAAGAGGGGGGTAGTCAAGTAAATGCCCCTTCCGATGCCCCCCCCAGGAGGCCACGCCGGGGCCGCCTCGGATGCTCTAGTGGGTCGCGACCCCCCCTCCTCCAGACACAGGGGGAGGGGGGAGGGCAAGCTAGGTGCGTTCGCATCATATCTGACATCCTACCCCTCCGTCCCATCCCTTACCATGGCGTGGTCCCTTCTCTACTCGCACAGTCGGATGCTCAGCAGGGCAATAATCCCGAAAGGGTGCGCGATGCATTGTAGAGCACGGCGTGGCATGGCGTAGAAGAGCACCGCAACACGTAGTATGTCACAGCATGGCGTGGCGTGGCGTAGTGGCGAATTGCATCACAACGCTTTGCGACGCAAAGCATGGCATCGCACAGCGGCCCCGAACATAACATTGCATAGCATGGCGTTGAACATCAAAGCGTAGCATGGCATAGCATGACGTGGCACCTACGCACCGGATATGACAGCTGCAGCTGAAGGCATGGCATCGCGCAACGGAACGCAACTAGCATTGCATTGCATGCCGTGGCATGGCACGGGGAATGACGCCAGCGCTGCAGCGGGAGCACGATTCGGAACGAGCGGAAGCGCGGAAATGAGGCCAGCGCTGCAGCGGGAGCACGATTCGGAACGAACGGAAACACGGAAATGATGCAGGGGTGCCCGCTTTCTTCCGCACGCCATCATGGGATGGAGGAGGGTAGCATTCATATTGTGTAAGTGTAAAGGGAAGGGGGGGTAAACCCCTCCCCAGAAAGAGAGAGGGGGGTTGGAAGAGGCAACCCGCTGAACCACTCACGCTTGTGGCCCCAAGCGGCCCAGATACCTATGTCCATACCTATTCTGCAACTGTCCCCTTCGGCCTATCCTTGCCGCTTTCGCTGGCCCCGCCCCGCCCACGAAGTGTCGACATGACCCTTAAGACCCTTGCATCCTCATCGTGCGTCCTTCTTGTACGGGTTAAGTGCATCGCAGAGCCAGGGTCCTCGAACATCGATCCCCCAGGCGGTGATTGTGAGTCGATCGCTGCATCGGACACCACGTCTTCACTGCGGCTCGTCTGCGTCGGCTGACTTGGCTCTGCAGTTCCTCTCCGTGTTTCTGCTTGCCTTCCGCCTCCTTTGCCTGCCTCGCCCTCGCTCCCCCCGACTGCTACAACTCCAGAGCTGGACAAGTGAGCGAAGCCCGCCGCACCGTATCGGCGCTGCGTGGTGCAGCCTATCGCGTCCCCTCGGCCCTGGCTGTGTGGCCGGTGGTGTGCGAGACACGCGGCACCCACCAGCCGATTGGAGCTGCCCTTCCCCCCGACTCTTTCCTCCCTCTTTCAGAAGGGGAAAATCACACAGACGCAATTCATCGTCGATCCCCAGGAAAACATGGGAAACTCTGAGAAGTGTGTGGGGGGAAGACGACAACGTTGGAAACATGGGGAGACATGGGGAATCCCGTTATTTGTGTCTACTTATTTGTTTGTCCCAGGGCCCCTTGATTTTCTCGCCCTTCGTCTCATCGGAACCCCATCTTAGGAGCAAACTGCGCCTTGTTATTTCGTTGCTCGGGCGGCCTGGCCGATCGATAGTTGGGCGGCAGGGGCTGTTCGCTCGTCTCGTCCGTTCCCCTTCCCTCTCTTCTCCGTGCCGTTGCCGCTTATCCGCCACACGAGTGTCTTAGTTCTCGCCGAGGGGAGCTGCGCTCGTGGGGGATTTCTGAGTGCACGGGAGTAGCCCTTCGGTTGCGGCGCGTTTATTTCTTTTTGCAGGGCAAGGCTCACTGCAGGAGTTTGCCTATCGCATGTCGGCTCATGTGAGGTTCCTGGTTTGCCTGGCGACGGTCTGATTCGCACAACGGGGAGCAGATTTAATTGATTCATCGCTAATGGGAAAATGTCTTTCTCCGCGACCGATCGCGCGCTGGGGAACCAAAAGGTGCCAATACCCCCACTTCCTGGACCTCTCCCGGGGTGCGCTCTGGCAATCATTTCGAGTGAGGGCCTCCGAGGAGGTTTCCCAAACAGCGGACACGAGGCAAGGGCAGCTTAGAATACGCAACTCGTGGGAGGTTCAGTGCAGAATCGGCGCCGTTCCATCCCTGGCCGAAAACGTTATGTTGGTGCAATCCCTGATGGGCCAATTTTCCACCACCGCTACAATAGGTAGGACGGGGGAGAAGGGAGGATGGGGAGGTCTTCCTCCTCCTCTTCCTCTTCCTCCTCCTTCCTCTCCTACCTATGGTAGTGGTGGTGGAACATCGGCCCATCAATCCCGTTTACTCTGACTTCACGACGGGCGCAGGAGGAGGAGGAGATGGGTGGAGGAGGAGGAGGAGGAGGAGGAGGAGGAGGAGGAGGAGGAGGAGGTGGAGGAGGAGGAGGAGGAGGAGGAGGAGGAGGAGGAGGAGGAGGAGGAGGAGGAGGAGGAGGAGGAGGAGGAGGAGGAGGAGGAGCTGGCAGGGGGAAGAGCGAGCCGGCGTGCGCGTGCACCGCCCGAGAGGGATGCCTCCCAGGACACGGGCAAGCTGGACGCGGAGGCCAGGGCCTACGAGATGACGCGGCAGGCCACGGGGAAGATGGAGGCCCAGCCGCCCCTCCCCGCGGATCGAGGTCGAGGGGCCAGGGTCCCAGGAGCCCAGGAGGGTGAGGATGGGAGAGATCGAGGGCCAGGGATCGAGAGGTGGCCGGGCCGCTCTTCCCCCCGCCGTCTGAGGTCCCGATCCTGTCCTCCCCCTCCTCCTCCTCCTCCTCCCTTCCTCCTCCTCCTCCTCCTCCCTCCTCCTCCTCCTCCTCCTCCTCCTCCTCCTCCTCCTCCTGACCCCCTCGCGTCGTGAGCGAAAACACGACGGATGATTTTTGTGCCGGGTTCGGCCGTTGGGAGCCCTCGCCGGGCTCGGGGACCTTCAAAACAGTTCCCAGGGCGACGGTCCGTCCAGGGGAGCGGGTCGAGCTTCTGGGGGTCGACGCTGCAGAGAAGTCACGACGCCGGGGGCCTGGTCTCGCCATGAGGCACGGGTCCTGAGGGAACCGGGCTCCAGACCCCCGTGGCGTTTCCCAGGGACCCAGCAGGAGGGCCCACTTCGATCGATCGGGGAACCTATTCGTGGCCGAGTCTCGCCGCGGCCACAGAAAGCCCCTCCAATCCTCATTCGGCGCTCCTTGCACGATGACTATACATCCTGTTCCCATCTTCCCCCCATTTTTTTTGATTTGATTTGGTTCCGATTCTGGCAAGCCTCAGCCGATCGATCAGGTTTCCCATGGTCCTGGGCCGTCTGTGACGTTCCCGGGAACCGTGCATAGGTTCAGGCAGCGGCCGCAGACGCTAATGTTTAGCATACAGCGTCCTAAGACACGACCTCCAGCTTCGCGACGTGGCGAGGATGTCTCAGGCGAAACGCTCGGTCTTCCAGACCTTTCCTGGCATGAACGGGAAGCGCGTGAAAGGGAAGCGTTGCGCCAGAATTTGCAGCACCATCGCGGTCAAATGTAATGTAGGCGTGCTCTTCGAACGCTAACAAGGGATACGTATGGACACGTGCCGCCCGAACGTTCACAAGCATATTCTTGATTATCCCCCTCACTCCTCCGCACGAGGAGGACGACGGCGAAGACGACCGGCGGAGGAGTGAGAGGAGCAGGAGGAGGAGGAGGACGACGAGGAGGAGGAGGACGAGAAGGAGGAGGAGGAGGAGGAGGAGGAGGAGGAGGAGGAGGATAGGGAGGAGGAGGAGCAGCAGCAGCAGCAGCGGGAAACGAGGGTGAGAAGGGGATGGGTAGGAGGACGCGGAAGAGGAGGAACAGGAACAGGAGGAGGGGTAGGAGAAGAAGATGGGGGGGGAGGAGGAGGAGGAGGAGGAGGAGGAGGAGGAGGAGGAGGAGGAGGAGGAGGAGAGGAGGAGGAGGAGGAGGGAGGAGGGGGGAGGGAGAGGGGAGGGGGAGGGAGAGGAGGAAGAGAGGAACAGGAAATCGAGGAAGAGGGAGAGGATGTCGAGATGGTGGAGAAAATCAAGAGGAGTAGGAGGAGAAGGAGGAGAAGCAGCAGCAGCAGCAGGAAACGAGGGTGAGGAGGGGATGGGTAGGAGGACGCGGAAGAGGAGGAACGGGAACAGGAGGAGGGGTAGGAGAAGAAGATGGGGGAGGAGGAGGAGGAGGACGAGGAGGAGGAGGAGGAGGAGGAGGAGGAGGAGGAGGAGGATAGGGAGGAGGAGGAGGGGGAGGAGGATGAGGAGGAGGATGAGGAGGAGGAGGAGAAGAACGAGGAAGAGGAAGAGGACGACGAGTGGGAGGAGGAAAAACAAGAGGAGTAGGAGGAGAAGGAGGAGAAGGAGGAGGAGGAGCAGCAGCAGCAGAAGAAGAGGATGAGGAGGGGAGTGGGAAGAGGACATGGAAGAGGAGAGACAGGAGCAGGACGAGACGGAGGAGGAGGAGGTGGGGGAGGAGGAGGACGAAGAGGAGGATGAGGACGAGGAGGAGGAATACAAGGAGGAGGATGAGGAGGAGGAGGAGGCAGAAGAGGACGAGGCGGAGTGGGAGGAGGGATAGGAGGAGAATGTGAAGGAGAAGGAGGAGGAGGAAGAGGAGGCGGAGGGGGCCACATGCAGATCGAAGGCACCTGTTAAGGGATGTCTCAAGCGACGCGCTCACGTTTTAACAGAAGTGTTAAAACCACAGCTTGATTTATACATTCGTTTGTTGGGCTTCTTGGAGGTCATCCGGGAGCGCTCCCAGAAGATGCCAAACAAGAGCTCGAGGGTGTCGAAAGCGAAACGACTTGAGGTCCGAAGATTTGGACAGCAAGCTCAACATCCCCATGTCCCGAGGATGTCTGGAACGACACGCGGCTTGTTAGCATACAGCGTCCTAAGACACGACCTCCAACTTCGCGATGTGGCGAGGATGTCTCAGGCGAAACGCTTGTTCTCCCAGACCTTTCCTGACATGAACGGGGAGCGCGTGAAAGGGAAACGTTGCGCCAGAATTTGCAGCATCATCGCGATCAAACGTAATATAAGCGTGCTCTCCGAACGCTCACAAGGGATACGTATGGACACGTGCCGCCAGAACGTTCACAAGCATATTCTTCATTGTCCTCCTGATTCCTCCGCACGAGGAGGACGACGGCTAAGACGACGGCCGGGGGAGGAGGGGGGGAGGAAGGGGATGAGAGGGAGGATGATGAGGAGGAGGAGGATGAGGAGGAAGAGGAGAAGAAGGAGGAGGGCGAGCAGCAGTAGCAGCAGCAGGCGAAAAAGGGCGAGGAAGGGAGGGGGCGACAACGAGGAAGAGGGGGAGCATGAGCAGGAGGAGGGTGAACAGGAAGACGAGGAGGAGGAGAAGGAAGGTGCAGGAGGAATGACGGGAGGAGGAGCAGGAGGAGGATAAGGAGGAAGAGGACGAGGAGGAGGAAGACGAGGAGGAGGAGGAGAAAGAAAAGGAGGGAATGAGCAGGAGGAGGAGGAGGAGGAGGAGGAGGAGGAGTAGCAAAAGCAGACCGACGAAGAGGAGGAGGAGGAGGAGGAAGGAGAAGGAGGAACACGGGGAGGAGGAGGAGGAGGAGGAAGAAGAGGACGAGGAAGCGGAGGAAGAGGAAGAGGAATAACAGGGGAGGAACAGGAGGAACAACCGGAGGAGGAGGAGGAGGAGGAAGAGGAGTTCTGGAGTTCTGGACATATCGATTGGGTCGAGAACGCACTACTCAGGAGACCTTGACCTTCCTGGCTTGCTCAGCTTTGCTGTAGGCCTTTGGCCATAGGTTACGTGAGAGTCGATCTAGATGCTCTACACGGTTGCCTTCAATCCTGTCTGGGCACGCCTGGGCGAAGTTAACGAGTTGCTGAGCTGCGTAAAACCCACAGGCAGTGCAAAATTTGACTCCAGCCCCGCGTGATATTTTAATGTATGGCTCGAGTGCGGACAACCTCCTCCAAAATGTACCCGCTGCCCTGGGGAAGGCTCGAAAACGGAGCCGTTTACATTCACGAGATCGAAACGTTGGGTGTTGAGCCAAGCGGTCTGTTTAGCCTTAGTGGTGGACCCCTTGCAGTTTGAACACCTACGAGGATCCTGAGGGCTAGCTGAGTGCTGAGATCTAAACAGGGCGCAAGCAGAAGCGGCAGGCGGGCGAACGACGGCAGCCTTTTTCTCACGCCGTCCTGTTCCTGACTGGGCACGCTCTTGATCTTCAGCCCTCATGGCCTCCAGCTGGCTCTGGAGGATCCGCAGTCGCACGAGGCAGGCCATGTTCTCGGTCTGATGGAGCCTCGTCCCCGACTCCTGCGGGACACGCGCCGGCTCGGCACCGACCCCCCGTCAGCGTGTCAGCCACAGAATTGCCCATGATCAAAAGCTCTGGGGCCGTGCGCTCGGACTGGGCCACAGCATCCTGATGCGAGTGAACGAAGAGGACTGCACACGTTAGCGAAGGCCTCCTCGTAAGTATTTGCTTGATCTGCCACTATAGGTCGGCATCAGGGCCTTCAGGGTTCTCATATCTGAAAGCATGTCAACCGATTGTCACTGCTTCGTTGTCCGTGACGAAAATTGCGTGTCCGTCAGGTTTTTCACGAAATAAAAGGAGAGCTTGCAATTCGCCTCGGGCGACCACTTGTCGCCATCCTGGATGTGCGCCCCACAATCCAACAGTCATGTCGGAGTTGGCGTTGGGATATGAAGTCACTGCCAAGCCAACTCCCACTCGTCGGAGAAGAGGATGTGCCGAATCGGCTCCACCGCTCGCGTCTCCAAAACCGAAGAGTGGGCAACTGATACTGCCAGCTCCGAAGCAGCACTCACCAAATTGAAATCCAGTGGTCTGCCAATTGGCCTCGCAGGGCGGCGCCTCCACCGCCAGCCACGGTGCAGGGTTCAATCCACGTGTCCAAAAACAGCGTTCTGCTTCACCTTGTGTCAGTGCCATGCCGACTAAGTGATCTGTCATGACATAGATTGGATGTCCTGCTACATGTTCGTCACATCCCCAAGATCGATGCAGAGCCGTTTTGCGCTCAAGCCATTGAGCGTTGCAGGTGCAGGATTCAAAACGGCACTTCGTGCCTGCGAGTCAATCAGCTTCGGAGAGGGCCGTACCCTCACAGTTCATAATCATTTCGCCGCCATGGGGAAGGGCGGCTTCGGCAAGCGCGGCCCTGGTGGTCAGTATGACAAGGGCGGCGGCAAGGGCGGCAAGAGCATCCCCTCGGCGGCCGCCCTCGAGCACGAGATCGCGCTGTTCGACAGTGGTGGCACGCCTCTTCCTCCTTGGGCTGCTCGGGCTCCAGGGGTTCAGCCTGATGGTCCTCCCGCCCTCTGGACATGCTCGGCGTGCGGCTGCAGGAAGAACGAGATGCGCTGGTCGCGCTGCAAGCATTGTGGCTCTCAGTGGACCCCGTTCCAGCCATACACGCCCACTTCCTTCGGCGCGCCTGGGGGAGTCTGGTCTGCTGGCTTCAGCAGCAACCTGCCGTACTCCCCCTTTGCTGCTGCTCGTGGGCCACCAGGCTCCTTCGCGCCTGGCGACCATGGTGGCGGCAAGGGTGGCAAGTCGCCAGGTGGTCCAACCAAGCCAGAGGCACCTCTTTCT